GGTACTATGTGTATGATGACGAGGAAGTGGCTGCACGTTCAGTCAAGTCGAAGAGATTCATCACTAAAGTGATGTTTCTTGCTGCTGTTGCTAGGCCCCGTTTCGACCATCATTCCAAGAAACAATGGGATGGCAAGCTTGGTGTCTGGCCTTTCGTTCACGTGTCGCCAGCTGCGCGTGCAAGCAAGAACCGACCAAAAGGCACCCTGCTTACTGTTCTTCTCGCTGTCGACGCCAAGGTGTACAGTGATACGATCATGGACAAGGTTGTGCCGTCGATCCAACTCAAGTTTCCTGGCGATTGGAGGCACAGACAAGTGCTTATCCAACAGGATAATGCAAGCCCACATCGCCGTTTGACCTCGGAATTTCTCCAACAACAAGGCATTCGTGGAATCGGAGTCGTCAACCAACCCCCGAATAGTCCAGATTTCAACGTCTTAGATTTAGGATTTTTTAATTCTATTCAAAGTCTCCAGTACCAAAAGTCTACTCGTTCAATCAAGGAACTTATTGGTGCTGTGGAAAGTGCGTTTTATGAGTTGTCGACAGATACCCTTGCAAAGACATTCATAACCCTTCAAAAGGTTATGGAAAAGTCCATTGAAATACATGGCAGCAATAACTACAAACTTCCTCGTATGAGTAAGGATGCTAACATTGCTAACTTTGCTTTGTATAATGTCGAGTGCGATGCCTTCTTCCTACGAGAGCGCATTGACTCATTTGCATGAGCGTCTGGGCGAAGAAGCCACCATGGAAGCCTTGGTAGATTCTCTTGAATAAGTACTCCCGATCAACTTTAAAAAAATACAATAAAAATTTTGTTGAAAATATGTGGTTTTAGAGCTCAATACAAAATTCAAGTTGTTTCGAATGAATGTTGAATACTTTAATCAAATGAAAAACTACCTGACAAAAGTACCGGAACCGAGTAGTAAATGATATAGAATTTTGACTCCAAGGACAATTATTACGCCGCACACATATTTCCTCGACCGTCGCCACAATACCACTGATGCCTTTCGGAAGAACATCAACGCCATCGCCGCGTCAATGGACTAGGATCATATTCTACTTGGTTGTTGTATCTCAACCACTTCAAAACCCGATCGAAACCAAAACGTTGGAATATTCAAGGCGAAGTGAGTGGCAACGAGCCACTCAAATTACCTAAACTCTCAGACCCGATAATGGGATACACTCTACCAATACATATGGTACTCTGACCACCAAAAGTACCGACCAATAGACGGCAAGGAGCAGCCGCCACAGGTCTACTCCTTTCCGTCTCAGTAATTCGAGCCGAATACATCACTTCCCCACGAGTTACTTAACCTCGTAAGCGGTGGCGATCTTCTTGATTACAGTACGGCCGACTTGGCCGCCTTGCAAAACGCCTTGAACATCACGGGTACATCAGCGAAGATATAGTCGGCAGGCTCCCACGAGTTGTCCACGTCTTGGGGTCCGCACCACTTGATGAACAGCTCGTGATCCTTAATTGTGGCAACGTACCGCGCGTCAACCATTGCCTCCACCTCGAAGCCTTCTAAGTTGTGGGTGAGAAGCTCGGACGTCACGTCCAAGTCACAGCCCGCACAGAACTTTAGGCGGCTGGCGTGGACGGGACGGATATCGTTAGTCAGAAGGTTCTCGACTTCGATCCAGTTGCTGGTCACCTCGATAACGACGGTAGGGTGCACTCCTTGGTCCGCAAATGCTGGCGCAAGTGCCCCATACTTTCTGGTAGAGGGCATAGTCCTCCACTACGAACTGGGCCATCTTCACGCCCTGCTTCTCGTCGTGGTACTGCCGCGAGTGGTCATGTTTCCGTGCATTTTCCACCGACATATGCTTGTGCATTCTATCTTCTTCCAGCACCAGCTGGGTCGCGGCAATGTTCTCGCGTTGACCTTCTCCCACATCGGCCAGCGTGGCTGACATGATCTGAACCAGCAAGGCCGTAGTGTCAGCCGGCGAAATTGCCGGACGGCCAGACATGTCGGTCACGGGGGCCGTATCGCCGAAGGATGGTGATGGTAGCGAGTTGAGCACGAGCATGATGACGAGGTGGGCCTCGGGCCACAGGTCGGGCGCCATGCGCCACTCGCTAAGACATGCCCGGAATAGACGCAGCAACTGCCGCATCACGACCTCCACTGTGCCATTCGCCCACGGGCAGCAAGCAGTCGTGAAGTGATGGTGAGCCTTCAGCACGTGTGGAGCTCCGCGATCACTGGGTTCTTGAAATTGGGCCCCTGGACGGAGACCCACACGTAGCACACGCTGAACGGCGAATCACTGCAGCAGGCAGTCCTTCACGAACGTCGCTGCTGCCCCAGGAGCCGGGAACAACCAGACCATCTTCACATTTGACTACCAGCAGGTACTTGTCGTCTGTCGTGGAGGCGCCCATGAACACAAAGTCCCGATGAAGTAGTCAATTGGGCGGCGTGGTCGAGTGGAGGGCAAGCGGGCGCGGCGCACCGCCAGATGCACTGGCACAATGAAGGCACCGACGCACAAAACATTCGACGTCGCCCTTCATGCCGGTCCACTGGCAGAACGACTCCAGGCTGTCGAACGTGGCCTAGACCGTGCAGTGGCCGCCCAAACTTGCGTGGGCACACACGCACAGTGGCAGGTGCAACTCGGTGGCGGCGACGGACACCCAGATCACATCGTCGACGAGACGCAACGGCTACGACTGGCCCAACACCAGAACCACCTGGTGGACGGCGTTCTGGTTCTTGGTCATTCCCGACAAGACGTCCTCGGGGGTGACCACCTGGGCTTCGGCGATGGACGCAAATGCTGCCAAACAAATTTTTCGTCCCGCAACGGCGATATCAGCAGTGGCTGCTGGCTGATGGCACAGATGCTGGGGATGGTAGATCCCCAGCGCGACAGCAGGTCAGCCCAGACGTTGACTTCGCTGGGGTTGTCATGGATGACGTAACTGTAGCCCATCAGCAGCAGGGCCCACCGTTCCAACTTTGGGCCGTGTACTTGGGCACAGATGCCACAACAGATGTTGAGCTAAAACTAAATTTCAGGTTGCGATGATCCGTGTATAAATTGAAACCGGCGGCGGGATGGAGCAGGTAGTCCGCACTGTCCAACGTCTTTAGAATTGCATACGCCTCCCACCGACCAGCTACACTGGTGAATGTGCTGCTCAGAAACATGAACGGCTGGTGTTCTGGGTGTCAATTGCCCGGTCCAACTGGTCGGGCGGCACTTGCGTGATCACTGATCCCCAGTGGCCTTCCGACGCGTCAGCAAACACAAAAAGTCGCTGCTGGGGGTCTGGGTGAAACAGCTCCACCAAGTTCCCAAGCACGGCATTGGTCTTGGCCAAACAGTCGTCGTCGTGCACGACCGACCAGCTGACGTCCTCCAACAGCACGGACATCTCCTGGTAGCTGGGGTCGAGGGCGAACTACCAGTACCCCTTGAAGAAATCAAGGAGGAAAGAACACACAGCGCCACTCAAATGATCCACCTCCAACATGGGCATCGACCACGCGATCTGTTCAGTCTGGCTGTTGATCGGCCGCAGGTCCATCGTCATTCGGAACTCGTCCTTGGCCTGGGGCTTGCGCACGATCAGGGGGGCCGAGGCCCACCAGCTGGCGGGGTTCCGGTAGACAAAGCCAGCTGCCTCTAATGCCTTCACATGCTGCTGCATGAATTCTCGCTGAGGCAGAGAGTACTGACGGGCCTTGCATCTTATAGGCCGCGGCTCATCGGCCAAGTGCACCTTCAACGGCGGCATCTTGACGGGTGGGTCGCGGCCCAGTCTCAAACGGAATACTCGACGTACTTGTCGAGGAGCGCGGCCAACTTTGGGGCAAACTCACTTCCGCATCCGGCGATCACGGCCTCGACCACCTTCGCATCCAACACCACCTTCACCTCGGCATCGACGGCAACCATGTCGGGGAAATATGAGTTCATGTCCAGGGGTAACAGCTCGTCCTCTTCCTCGGCCAGGTTATCCACGAGCTCGTGGGACACGGCCAGCACGACCCCGCTGTGCGAGACCGCGTCGGCCATGTCGATCGCACCGGTGACGGACGCGGCCTCACGCAGCATGGCGCGTGGGTCGAACCCCAACTTATAAATGATGGCGCGGCTCAAAAGGATGTCGCCGACGTTGGCGGGCAGTCGCCCGTCGACACCCAGCACTTGAGATTTGTGAGCATTAGGGGGCCGGCGTCTGTCTCGAACCGCTGGTCCATCGTGGCTTCCTCGGTGACGGTGTGGGCAGGGCCAATAAAACCCTTGACCTTAATGGGGGTCTTGAGCTTGGTCACGAGGACGTGCGGCCTTGCTTTTATACTTTGGCCGGCGTCGCGGGGGGCACTTGAACACATTGTGCTCAGTGCTCAGGCACTTGAAACACGCACACCTTTCTTGGGTGAAGTTCGACTTCGGGACCTTGTCGACGTTCATGACGGCTACGACCTTGGGGGCCTTCCCAGCCTTGGGGGCCTTGGTCGCTGTGAGCAACTTGTCCGGCTTGGCGGCGGCGATTCCCGCCGCCATCATCGGCTCGACCTCGCCACAGCGACGCTTGTAGTCCACCAGCCAGCGCTAGAAATCGTCCACGTCCTTCTTGAGGCTGCGGTTCTCGTTCAACTTCAAGAGTTCCTTGACACGGGCGCGCGCGGCCAGTGGCTGGACGGCTGCGACGAGATAGTCGACCATTAGGTTTGGCTCGGCTCTTAGGTTTGGCTCGGCCTCCGCGAACCCCTCCATTAAGTGGCGCACGAGGGCAGCCACGAATTCCGAGAACAACTTTGATACCCGGGATTCGGTCGACTGCACGGTCGTGTCCATCTTGAGCTTGGCCATCGCGGAGTCCAACTTGGACATGTCAACAGAATCGCAATCCTTGGCGCGGAAGAAATTCTTTCAGTCCTCCTCCGTGACCTCGTGGCTGGCCTTCCCAATCCCCCAGTACACGATGCGCTCGACCGATAACGGGTCGATGCATGCGCTCAGCGGTGCGCGCTGGATCTGGGCGCCACCCAGACGCTGTGCGTTCGTGATGTTGACTTCGCGGCGTACTCCTCGTACTGGTGCATGAACTTGTGCATCTACACCTTGGTGGTGCCGTTGAACGACGGGGCTTTGGATACCTATTGGAACCAATTAGACGACTTGGACGCCCGCGACCACAAGGGCAGTCGTGAGCGCTGCAAGAGACGGTACCGGGGTCGCCGAAACGACATGTGAACAGGCGCTAGACTGACGTCGCATATCCTCCAGCTGCTTGCCATACTAGATAAACGCGGCGTGCAGCTTGGTGCTTGTGGCCCACAATCTGCTCTTACTTAGGTGCATGCAGCTGCTCGACGAGGACGTCTTGTCGTCGGCACTGCTCCTCTAGCTCAGCCATCAATCGACTCATAGCTGTGTTGCATCTGGGCTTAACAGGATTCTGCACGACGTCCAGCCGCACGGGTTAATCGTGGACAGCTGTCTGCACTTGGTTGCCCAGGTGTTGACCCGACCGCTGTACGGCAGCGATTTCTGGGGGTAGGCCACGTACGGCAACGCACAAGTTCGCGGTGTTTGACGGCAACGACATCGTGGGTGCGTATTGCAACTCTTCAGAGACGGTGCGTCGGAGCACCAGGCCAGCCGTTCCAGGTGGATACTAGATTCTCTCGGGGGTATGCTAGTCACAGAGAACGAACAGGCGCTGCATACGGGGTAGATGTAGATCGCTGCAAACGAGACAGATCAAAAACGAGTACATGCACACACACGTGTGGGCAACAGGAGACTTGGACTAACTGTAAAGAATTCTTTGTTGTATACAACCACTTCAAAACCGATTGAAACCAAAACGTTGGAATATTCAAAGGTGAAAGGCGAAGTGAGTTGCAAACGAGCCACTCAAACTACCTACACTCTCCGGCCCGATAACTACTCCGTCCCAAATTACCTCCACGTTTCAAATTCGAATTTGACTCATTTACCCAATTTCTACGAAATTTGTACCAATGAGAAGCTGGGAATTCGGTGGTTTGCTTGCTCATATTTATATTGCAGGTTTGTTGGATAATGTGCACACGATCATCAAAATAATACTAGTACAGTATTGCTCCTCAGCGCAGAATTAAAATCACTCACCAGACTTGATTAATGTACGGTCAAATGGGTACTTCGAAGTAAATAATTCGAAGAATGTAATAATTGTCCAGTGTCACACTAATTTCATCTTATTCAAAATCGATGTTGAAAACTTCGAAGTAGGTCGAAGGGTGGACTTGATTGGCTACTTGACTAGTAATCTGGGTTCTGATTGGTCAATCCTTTGTCTGTCGTTTGGTGCTTGAGCGCCGTACAGTACTCCAATTTCGAATCGACTTGACAATAGTAATCATAGGTAGGCAATATGATGTACTGCAGAGTCGAAACGATCATAAAGAAGGTTCAGGCTCTCGAACTTCGTTTGAAGCTCGTGGGTTGTCGTCATCAGGGATACTGTAGGACCACAATATACAGTACAAACATCAAGTTGCACTTGAAGGAATCTTCCATGGGTACTGTACTCAGCTTCATCAAGATATATTTAGCTCTTTTCATTTCGATTTGTCGCTTGCATCCCAACATGACGCTTCCCGTCTGAAAGTGATCTACTTTGACATGCCGGTTGGGCCGAGACCGTCCGTTTGGCATTGACCATCGGCGGCGTGCCGTTCGAAGACCAGCGATTGCAACGCGAACAATGGGCTGCGTTGAAGCCCTCTTTGCCGTTTAGAAAGCTACCAGCGCTCACCGTGGATGGCCACGTGCTGTGTCAGTCGCATGCCATTGCCCGGTACACTGGTTCGTTGGCTGGCTTGTACTCCACCGAAAACCGGCTGGATGCGTGCCGCGTGGACGAAATCCCCGACTTTTGCGAGGACTTTATGCAAAAGGTGATCCCCAGCTTCCGCGAAGCTGACCCCGCCAAGAAGGCGATGAGTGTTGAGCTGGCGTCGACCACGTTCCCTGAGATGTTTGCCTTGCTCGAAGCCCGCGTGGCGTCGTCGGGGTCGAAGGGTCCGTGGTTTCTCGACGCGATCTCGATTGCCGACTTGGACGTGTATTGTATGGTGTCGATGATGAAGTCTGGGTTCATGGACGATATCCCAACCACCATTTGCGACCGCTACACCAAGAATATCACCATTCACAATGCAGTGGCCGCCCACCCCAAGGTTGCTGCGTGGGACGAGGCCCACAAGAAGTAAAGCAAAGTGGACTACAGTAAAGTGTACTCTTGTACTTTCAACCTTGGGGATACACTCGTTTTTGTCGAAACTACTTGATCTTGCCAGACCAGGGCTTCGTTGGCTGCCTTCGATGCTGAATCAATGTGCACTTGTATGTGCACCGCCAACGTATGGCAATGCCAACAGTGTCCTTGTTGTCTTGACGATTAACAATTGCTCAATATGACTGTGTGCTCGATGAGCCGATGAGCCCATGATCGCTCGCATTACCGGATGGTTCCGGAATTTTACGAGAAACGTCTCCATCAGAATATCCAGGCGCAAGGTCACCGCCAAGAAACCGTGTGGTCCGTCAAGTTGATGCTCGAGACCAAGGGCGCGATCTGAAAAATGTTAACGCTGGCATGTCATCGGCATCAACACATTGATTCAGCACATTTTCATCTTCGTTTTCGTATGACAACATGCTTAGATATTCTTGTTTTGATCCTCACTACATGTACAGTACTTGTATGCCACAGCACTGGCAGCTAAATTCCCATTGACATGCCAACCTTGAAGCTGACGTACTTTGACCTGCCGAGTCGATCCGAGATCACGTGGTTGGCCTTTGCCATCGGTGGCATTGCGTTCGACGACTGCCGCATCCCTTGCAACCAGTGGCCAGTCCTGAAACCCGCCACGCCGTACAATCAACTGTCCATCTTGACCGTGGACGGTCATGTGTTCTCTCAATCCCATGCCATTGCGCGGTACGCTGGAGCATTGTCTGACTTGTACCCGACAAGCAACCCAGTGGCGGCGCTCCTCGTGGATTGACAACTTCAACGAAGAAATCCTGCGTTGCTCATTCCAGCCCCCTCAAATCCGATCCAGCGACGAAGCGGTCGCTACGCGAAGCGTTGGTGGCCAAGGAGTTGCCGAACAAGTTGGCGCTATTGGAGGCGCGATTGGCTAGTGCTAACACTAAAGAAGGGGAGGCTGGGTAGTGGATTCCAGCCATTTCGATTGCGGACTTGGCCATCGACAGCATTGCAGATCGGCTCAAGAATGGTGGCTGCCAGATATCCCCAAAGACATGAGTGACGTGTACCCGATCATCCCTTCTATCTACCGCGCTGTACACTCCCATCACAAGGTCGTGGCGTGGTATGCTTCCCAGCACTGAACAAAGGAATCGCTTGTTGGCGAAGTATAGTGTAGCTTGTTTGACATCGTTTAAATGCAAATCGAACATGTTTTCAAACAGTCAAATACCACTACAAGTTTTTTTAGCTACACCACCTTTGTGTGCGCTTTGTTCCACGCAGCGACTGCCGGATGGCTTGCCACGGCATTGAAAATGGTCATCATCTTGGGGTAGTCGCTGCAGATATTCACTGGAATGTGGTCCAGTACGCCAGACTTCATCATGCGTACCAAGTTGTAGACGTCCAAGTCGGCCAGCGTAATGCCGCTCAAAAACCACGGGCCAGCTGCCCCCGACGACGTCAGCCGCGCCTCCAACAACCCAAACATCTCGGGGAACGTCACCGTGGCCAGCTTCATACGCATCGCCTTGGTCCTCCCTGGGTCGCTTTCGTGAACAGTTGGGTACACTTTGTGCATGATGTCCTCAACGTAGTCGGTGATTTCGTCCACTCGGCACGCCAGCAACCGATTTTCAGTGGGGTATAGCCCCGTCAAACACCCGACGTATCGAGCGATGGCGTGGGATTGGCACAGCACTTGGCCGTCCACGGTCAGCACGGGCAGTTGCCGGAAGGGGAAACTCGCTTTCAGCGCCTGCCACTGCCCCCGGCTTACGCGCTCGTCTTCGAACGGCACGCCCGCGATGGTCAACGCCAAGCGCGTGGTTTCGGCCCGGCCAGCAATGTCAAAGTACGTGACTTTCAGGTGGTGGTTCATGCTAATGCTGGTGGAGGAAAGTTAGACACTGAGCAATGCAAGCTCTTGGTGATACTTACGAAACAGTTGGGATATCATACAACAACTGCCGAACCAACTGCCTGATGTTATACAATCGCGTTATGATTGGAGACAATATATATAATGACATGACAATTGGTGAGTGACGAAATGTTATTCCATATGCAATGGTGTCGGCTTTGTACTAGTAGTAACTGTTACTGAAGATCACGATTATTCAAACGCATGGAGCTCCACTAGTAAACGCTATTGATTGTGAGAAAAATAGATTCGGTTTTAATCCTTCAGAATTGACACCGCCGGTCCAAAGGGCTTTTTGCCTTTTCCCTTGCACAACAGGGCTTGTTTTTTCGCCATAACATACATTCCTGGTCCAGATCTAAATCGCGCCAACATGTCCAGTCGGTTTTCGCGCGACGATTTTGCCCGGTTACGTCGGTTAGGGCCAGATTTGAGGCCAGTCGTTGCAACCGTTTCATGCAAATTGAAGCGATTCCAAATTGAGATTTTGTAACTAACGTTACAAGTGGCACTACTCAATCAATTGTGAACCCCACAAGAGCAACTTTGACTACAAGAGCAACTTTGACTACAATGGCCACAACGACCGCCCCCGTCTACCCCACGTTGAAGCTCACGTACTTCGAAATGCCAGGACGAGCCCACGTGTCCCGTCTGGCGCTGGTCATTGCAGGCATCCCATTCGAAGACGAGCGCATCTCGCAAGAGGCGTGGCCAGCGCTCAAGCCGACGCTGCCGTATCAGCAAATGCCTACGCTGACAGTGGATGGCCAAGTGTTTGCCCAAGCGCACGCCATCGAGCGCTACGTCGGCAGCCTCTCAGGGATGTACCCGACGTCGAACCGGTTGCACGCGCTGTTGGTGGATGAAATCGTCGACTTTTTGGACGACATCACCAAGTTGCTCATGCCAAGCTTCTTCGAGCAAGACCCGGATAAGAAAAAGGTGCTGCGAGAGGAGTTGGCGGCCACGAGTTTCCCCCGCATGTTTGGCTTCCTCGAGGCGCGCCTGGTAGCGTTGCCGTCCAAGGGACCGTATGTCCTCGACTCGATTTCCATTGCCGACTTGGCCATTCACGGCATCATGCTTATGATGACATCGGGGTTTCTCGACCACATCCCCCAAGACATTTGCGACAAGTACACACGCACCATGGGGGTATTCAAGGCCGTGCAAGCGCACCCAAAAGTCATCGAGTGGTTTGCCAAATGTGATTAAGCACGAAGTCGAGTTGAAATTCCCTAACGTTTGTACGTTTTTGGGTTGCGTTGCTCCTACTTTTGATAGGCCAGTTAGCCGGGATTGCCTGTGTTCAGGCAATTTCTACTGCGTACAGTGCAGTGCAGTGCTGGGTGACGAGCATGTTGGGACTAGGAATTGTGTCGAGTGCACCATCCTTGGCCACGTTGTCGTCTTTTCGTGATGTACAGTATATTAGTTGGTATAGGTAGTTGCTCATTAATTAGTACTACTAGTAACGTAGCTCGAACCATGTTAATGGTGCACTTGAATCAGCCAATCAAATGTAGTAAAAATACTGGGAGATAACCTCCTTAATCTAATTAATACACGAAGTGAATTTTGGCGCCTGTCATGCACGACCGCGACCGCGATCGCGATATACACGTGTTGAGCTTGACAGAGCTGTTCAAGATGTGCTTGCTGGGCGAAACGGGAAGCCAGTGGCAGCGTTCTCCAAGATACTCTACAACACCCTCATGAAGTATGTGCACGCGACAAAGACCGGCACCACCACGACGCCAAAGCGAGGAGATTGTGAATGACGGTAAAGTTACAAATACTTTCATTGTACACGTATGTATATATTTCTCACGAGGCTGTAGTCACGGGTGACTTGCACTCCGAACGAAAGAAGAAGCGAAGAGCGGTGCTGGTGCTGTGTCCGTGTAGCTGGGCCTCAAGCCCTTGCCTAATGGTCAAGTCAAAGCCAACCGCAAGAACGCTGTGCACGTTGTAGTGTAATTCATCGCATTACATGAAATACCTTTGCATGTGATGTTGGACCTCCAATTTTTCGTGCACACCTGGTTGTGGATTCCTAAAATGTCAGACTCGCGTCAAATTCAAAAATGGTCACTGACAGTTACTCACAACTGTATAATTGCATTACCTGTCTGGATTAATATTTAACTACTGAAATTACATAACCTAACCACACAAAAAATATGGAAATGAGTATACAAACTTTAAGCTAATTGTGTGTACCAATAACTGGTTCTCACTTTTGAGTACAATTGCTTCGAAAATGGTATTTATGTCTGTCAAATAGACCGTGAAACACAATTATTTGAATGTCCAATGAATCAACTCCGCTTTGGCCTCATCCAGCACTTTTCGGAATGTGAATCTGATGCATCCATGCTGAGCTTCGTTCCTTCCACCGCAGCGTCTCGGAAAAAGTATTCTTAAATTGGTTTTCTACGTAGTATTAATAGCTGCAATGATCACAAGCCTCGTTTAGTGCTGTGGTCTATTCAACACGTACAGTGTACTGGTACATGCGTGCTAGAACCTTGTGGTAGGTATTTTCGCTATTCTGGCATGGCGACTACCATAAGTCACCGCGGGAGGTGCACACCTGGACAGTTTCCCGCCACAAAATGCTCCGGTTAATTGACACGCAGCCGGATGATCGATGCTGGTTCAGCATTCACAGTTTTGTGTTTATAGTTAGTGTGGCAGCGCCATCGTCAGCCCGATAAATGAGCAGTAGTAGTACTTACCCCACGCTAAAGTTGTCGTATTTTGACGTCCCAGCGCGTGCCCATGTGATTCGGCTGGCGTTGGCCATCGGTGGGATTCCGTTTGAAGACCACATCGTGTCCCGCGACGAGTGGCCATCTGTGAAGCCTTCGTTGCCCTTCGAGCAGATGCCCGTGTTGACTGTGAATGGCGAAGTATTTGCCCAGTCGCATGCCATCGAGCGATACGTGGGGCGGCTGGCGGGGCTGTACCCTCTGGAGAACGCACTTGACGCTCTTAAAGTTGACGAACTCGTCGACTTCATCGAAGACATCAACCAATTGTTCGTCCCGAGTCGAAACGAACAAGACCCAGCCAAGAAGAAAGCCATGCGTGAAGCCTTGGGAACGCATGAAGTGCCGAAACATTTTGCGCTCTTGGAAGCCCGCCTGCGATTGTCGTCGTCCGCTGCGGGGCCTTGGTATTTGGACAAGTTGTCGCTCGCTGACGTGGCAGTGTATGCCGCCGTGGTGATGATCAAAACAGGGTTCACCATGCACATCCCCACAACTCTCTGCGACGAGCATCCACGCATGTTGGCCATTTACGAAGCCGTCGGCGCGCATCCGAATGTTGTGGCGCGCTACGGGCATTGATCAGTTTGCACTTTGGTGTAATTTTTCAAAACACGGAGTAAAGTGTAACGCTGACGTTAGTATTTGGACAAGTGGTCTCTCGCTGACTTGGCAGTGTATGCCGCCGTAGTGATGATCAAAACAGGGTTCATGTTCTGCTAAAACATCCAAGCGACTACCAGTACATGTGAATCCAACACTGATATATCTAATATCAACACCGTCATAAGAGTTGGTCAATGCAACTATTGTCCTTCGACCACATTTACAGCCCGCGGTTGCTAAGTTAATGTAACACTGGAGTAACCGCAAGTGAAGTTATCTCTCCTATAAAATCCCTTTCAAATAGTACTACGAGCTGGTTTCTGTGCAGTAACAGCGTGCATTAACATAGCTACGGTAGCCCCAAACCAGACGACATTATTGGGGATGGTGAAGTCTAATCTTCGAACGGCAACATGAAACGGCTGTAACTGTTTTCAGGTATCTTTGGTGGGGGAGGTCACCACGACGAAAACAACGACCCTCTACGACAACATCGTGGCTCAATGCTAAAGCAAGGGTCAACGGTGCGAGACTTTGCGTCTGCCTTTGAACATGTACGTAGCCTCGATCCATATCATGCCGTTGGCCATCTCATTAACGAACGACATTGCCCCGATCGTTGCATGACCATATTACAGGAGCGGCAAGCGTTGGTCAAAGATCTCGAGTCGATGCGCCTCCAGCTTTTGCGCAAGGACGACCAATGCAAGAAGAGCGCGGCCGTTGCAAGTTCCCAGCTCATCGCGTTGAAGAAGGAGCTGGGCGAACTGCACAGCCAGCGGGTGCTCGTGGAAAAAGAGAGCGACTTGTACCAGCAAAAGTGCAAGGACTTGACAACGCTGTTGGAAACGTCGTATGACCAGCACGAAGAGGACCAGACCAAGATCGTCAAACTGTCTGAAAACGTAAGCAAGCGTACTGTGTGGGCCAAATGCCAACACATGATTTCGTGTAGCTCAAACGACTCAAGAAAAAGTACGACGACGGGCTCAACATGGCGCGGAAAGAAGCCACGATTTCCGTCATGAACACGCACGAAGAGCGCAAGTCGCTCAAAGTAAACGCGGAGCGGCTGCGGTGCAAACTCAACACAGAGCGAAAGGAATGGATGGACACTAAGCAGTCGCTTCTGGAGACAGTCGAGGAGCACCGGTCACGCACCGACTGCCTCGAGCGCGAGCTGCGCGAAGCCAAACTGAGCGAAAAGAGCTACCGGATGTGCCAGGACCAGCTACAAGCCGAAATCCGCAGCTTGAAGCACGACCTGTCGGTTGCCGTGACAGACCACAGCGTGGCGAAACTAGCGATTGAAAAGTACAAGAACGAGATCTGCCGCGTCGTGGAAGAGACGCGGATGCAGCGGGACAGCGACCAGACGCTGCTCGAGCGGCTCCATATGGCCCAAGAGGACGCGACTATGAGCTGGCGAAGTCGCACCGCGCTGTTTCATGAAAACTGCACACTCAAGCAAAACCTGTACGCCGCGCAGCAAAAATACGACGGGTACGCGTTGTGGCCTACCGTTGACTTGTGTACACAAAATTGGCATTGTGAGTGGTTTGTGTACCGTTCAGTGCGGTGTACGACGTCATAGTTACCATTGGATTGTATTGTATCGCTGTCACGTTGGAGGATTCTAGACACTCAAAGAGTACAGAAGTTGGTGGAGTGTGCATGTGTATCCGTGCCAGCAGCTTTCCAGGATCTAGTTGTCCTTTGGTGGTTTCGCCTACATGCCCTAGGGAAAATTCCGATTTTGCACTTGTCTCGTTACCGTGCGTTTGCCTTAATAATCATATACTACAATTGTGTTTATGCGTTGGCAACAACGACTACGAACCCCCTGTAACGAACAAGTTTCAACGGTCCATACATAGCGTGGTCTCCAAACGAAAGCAAGACAAGGCAGCTAGCAGCATGCTCACGGAAGAATTGTCCGAGGTGCGCCGAGACACCAAGCGCATGTCTATGGCGTGGGAGGCGCAGTCAGTGGAGCAGACGCAGCGCATGAAGCGAAGTCACATCGAAGCCATCGACTTGCTCAAGGAGCGGCACGCTGCGGAACTTCTACAGCTGACGGTCGAGAACGAGAGGAAGTTGGCCAAGTCGGACGCGTCCCACCGCGTGATGCTGGAAGAACTCGGCGCGGCGCATCGAGATCAAGTGCAGGCGGCGCGCGATGTGGTGGAAAAGCAAATGCACATGGCCGTGAACCAGGTGCAAGTGCTGTGCGAGTCCACCCAGCATAAGCTGCTCAGTGTGACCAAAGAGGTAGTCCGACCTCCTATCGATCAAATTCATATACATACATGGACAGAACTATCATCACAAGTTTGTGTGTGTCAATATGCAGAAAGAAGGTGCGGAAATGCAAGTTCGCGAGCTCCAACAAGAGCTGGACGCGTGGCGCGACAAGGAGAAGAAGCTGATTCAGATCATGGAACATGCCCAACGAATGAATGCGAATGTCGAAGAACGACATTTGTCCTTGGAGTGCAAGCACTTGGATGCGCAAAAACAGCTGGAAGAGTTGGCTTTGAGTGTACAAAGCTTGCAAGCTACGGTGCGTCCACGTCTTGGTTTTGATGGAGCTCGTGGAAACGATGATCAATGTTATGGTAGATCGCCAACCAGCGCGACTTGATCGATGAGCTCGAGCGGTCGCGTCAAGTCCAGGTAACTATCGAACGCCCATTGTGGGCTGCCCGTTGTTTCGATGCATAGTTTGCAAGCGACTTTGTGGGCAACGTGATGACACACGACGCTTATGCAATGATGTGTATAGGCGGACGAGTACGTTCGGGAGCTGGGGGGGGTTGAGACGGAAAAACTCGAATGCAGGCGAGAAATCGCCCACTTGCAAGAACAGCACTCGCGCGATGTGCTAGCTTTGGAAGTCATGAAGCGCAACCAAGACCACACCATCAAGCAAATTACACAAGCTCAGTTTAGTGCGAATCGATTGATTGAAGTATGAAAATGAGCCTGGGGAAAAGTGTGTGTGTGTGGACTCATGTTGCTTGGGCTAGGAGCAAGCGAAGACGATCGAGGATCTATTGGAATCTCGCATGAACCAACCCAACGAGGTATGCATGACGAAGGTCATTCCTTGTCGAGGCTACTACTGTACCATGTGACCACGGACGGCTAGGCGAACAACGCATCCTGCCGGCGACCACAGTGCCATGCCGTGGCCGAGGCCTTGCACGACATGCAGAGCAACAGTCCGTCGCAACATCAACTAGACGACTTGCAAACCCTGCTGAAACAGACAAACCATCAAGTGAGTGTGTTGGAGAGGGAGAAGCAAAAGCTGGCGAGGGTCGTCGAAGAGCAAGCCGTGACGATCCACGAGCTCACCATGCAGGATGAACACGGCGTTAATGGTATCAATGACGGCAGCGACGCAAGTTCTAACAGTGGCAACAGCCCTGAGACACACAAGTGGGATGACTTGTTCGAGGTACGCACTACAAACGTAGCTCATCCTTTCCTCGTCACCTGAATGTCATCGATGTAGGAAGTGCAGATGAGTTGAAATTCCGGATAATTAACGTATGTGATTGGTCGCATGCGTCTTGTATCCGGAATGCAACATTACACTCGTCATTGAAGGCGGTGAGTAGCGCGACAGGTTTCTCATCCCTACCACGCGGTAGCGAAGGAGGATTCTACCAGGCAGTAAGTAGTGTTGGACTTTTCTCTAGCATGACAGGAGCCGCAGCAGTCACCATCACGGACGAGCTGTCGTCGGCCATCACGTTTGTGATCTATGGCGTGAGCTCGTTCTGCATTCTGACTGCGTATTCGACTGTCGTCCAAAATTTCCACGCCGCGGGGTGTCGGCATGGCCAACTCCACCGGCGTCACTCCAAAGAGCATGCACAAGGGGGTGCTGTACTGACGACGCCAGCGACAGAAACAGCATTAGCGAGCCAACTATTGCCCGCGAAATCGGACGATGACGGCGATGATGGCGACGACCAGCAGGAGGCCACCGCTCCTGTGCCGTACTGGGACTTGATGCCAAAACACAGCGCCCTCCAGCAACATCACATGGGAGCTTCGACGACGATGCCATTGTACACATGTGTGTGCCAACTACCTGTAGCCATCCCAGTGCCCACGGACGGCGACGCAATGCGCTATCCCAAAGCATACTCCGTGTCCGTTTCACGAGGCATTGGGCCGACAGATTGCATGACCAGCACGACACGCATGGGCTACGACGACACCGGAAACGACGAAGGGTCAAGGTGCCGAAGCGCGTCGTGTCCAGCTGCTCGCAACCCCCACTTTCGTCCCATGTAATCTCTCGTATAAGACGTTTACTCTAACGAGTTTTCGATCCAATTGCTAATAACGTTTGATGTTAGCAACCCACTGCCTTGCCTAACCCCGTCCTTGAGCGAAAACAAGAGCAGCCACCACAATGCACCCTTGCCAGCTCCTGCTGCCACGACCAAGTCACCGCCACGTCCTCCTCCATCAGTCTTGCTAGCGTTGACGGCGCAAGCAAACACCCGCGAGCGTCGACACCGCAGCCTTTTCCGGGCAAACATTCACGTGGGGCTGGCGGTGGCTTCAGTGTCTCTTGAAGACGTATATAGTGTCCGCGTCGAGTTGAAGTGCCCAGACAACGCCGAGAGCCACGCTGTCGCCGCCGTCCTCTGGGGCTTCACATGCACAATGGCCGAAATGAAAACGACGAGGGACCTCATGCAATGTGAAGTGGACGGAGCGAAGGTGCTTGGGGGGCTGGAGATTGCATCCAGCCGCGATATGCAGACATTTTTCGACACTGTCACGAACGAACCACGGTGGGCAGATGCCCCAAGCCTCCGCAAGCTGTGCCAAATGTGGTGAGGGGTGATATCCAGTCAATACTAAGCGCGTGGCCGTGGAAACAAAAAGTTGTTCATACGAGAAGTGTACGAGTACTTTACTGTTAACGTTAGTATTATTAATCCTACTAGGGTTAGGTACTTTGAAGTACACCATTTTGCGTTTAATTTCAGCTGTAAAATTGGTGTTAGGTGAAATATATCCGCTGTTGGTGGAAATATTTTGAAAAAAACTGAAATTGGACTCAAAATGGTGTAGTTCCCTGTACTATACTGTATGTCAGTATGTATATCTCCATATAGCATTTGTCTCAGGTTGGGTAATCGCCCAGAATTGCTATGGTTATGTTCACGTGGTACTTGCTTGTGGAGGTGAGCAGTAACTGTGCGCTAAACAATAAACACCTTGGTAGGCGCCTTTTTCAAATACAGTCCCATTCTCGGTGGGTTCACTAAACGGATGAGCTATTACAGTATTACCTATAATACCTCCAACAGCAAATCTACAATGTATAACGACAAACCAAACAGAACCCCCTGTGATTTTCTGCGTGTTAAGTTATAGTCGATTTTCTTCAAATTGCCCACGGTTTGCACGAACTGAGCTGAGACATCTGATTGGCTAATATCCGCTTTGCCCTTTCCAGTAGAAAATGTATTGTAGCCAATCAGCGACACGTAATTTCGGATAGACCCATGGGTGCGATTGGGTGCCTGCTTCACTTGGCGAGATTCGATTTGACAGTAAGCGGGGCCAGGAAATTCATACGGAATCTCCAATGTCGCAGTGTCTTGGTAAGAACTCCCATTTGTGTTATGAAACAAATTTGTGTTACGTTAGTTGATGCTATCGACGTTAATCTAGTGGCCCTCGTAAAGTGCTGCTGTCGTTCACACGATATCCAAAACCAAATAAATCGACCAGCCTAACACTAGTTTATTTAAATCGCCACCCGGTCAATCCAGAAACTCCAGCACCACACCACTACTTCCAGCTTCTGTCGTCGCCTCGGGGTACGTCAACTGCATCGTGGCCAGTGTGAGCTCCATGTGCACTTTCATTTCCGCGGCCGATTCCGTCGCAAATTCAGCCATCAACTCGTCCGTGTACGGGTGAACTTGGGTCTTCCACCCGTGGTCGATCTCGTACACTATTTGGGTGCCGTCGAGATGGATTTCGCACGCACAGCTCTTCGAGTCGCCCTTGGACGTGACGACGTCTACCTGCGGCATGACCAAGAGTAGCGTGTTCACGTCCACTTGATCACCTGACGTAACGGACAGCCGACTTATCAGCGCCGACGCCACCGGATGGTACAGCTGCCGGACGCGTCCATGTAGCACACGTTTGTCAAGTGTCAAGGCTTTGAGCTGTTCGAAACACTTGGCCGATTCACGAGAGTACGAGGTTGCCATCGTGGCGTAGGCGGCAGATTGGACCTCCATTTGCCTGGTCAATTGATCGAGTTGAGTTTCCAGTGCATTCGGGGCAGCACCGCCTTGGGGATATACGACAAACGCTGGGATTTGTGTTTGAATCGCCCACAAGTCAACGTCCCTTGCTTTAGTTTGTTTGCTCCAGATGCACCACGCCAGCTTGGAACATGTGAAATGGACCTACAACACACACATACACACACATTGCCGCCCTCACTTTCACTTGTTAAAAGGGCAAACGCACTGTGCCGCTGGTGGTGGGGTTGTACAAGTGAAAGACCACTTGATTGCCAGGCAAGGTCCACACAGAGTAGCGCACGCGCTGTCCGTCTCGCATCGTAGCCGCGCCAGCCATCAGTTTATGCGTGCAGCCCATTTCGAGTTTGTGCCGGCGGCCGTCCGTGTACCCGACTTTGCATTTCCGTCGGTCGCCGCTTGTCTTGTCGTGGAACTGAAACGGTTGGCTGGCTGCCGCAGACATGTACGCGACTTCCTGCTCGCATTCTAGCATGTGACGCTTGATGTCGGCTTGGTAGTGCGCACTCGCCTCTTGTTGTTTGGCGAGGACGGTAGTGATGTCTTGTGTCGTGGCCTAGCGAAGCCAACGATGAACATCCAATTGTCAGTATTGTTTTCTATACGAGGCTGGGCACAACAATACAATACGAACCTTGATTTGGGTTTGCGTGTCAGCTCTCTCGCGTTTGAGTCGCTGGCGTCGGTCGCGCAGCTCTTGCTTCTGCTGCGCTTTCGTCTCCTTGTCCGCCGACGCGTTCACGACGTCTGCCAGCCCCTTGCTCTCGACGTCGTCAAGCTGATCCTTGACCGCGATTTCTTTGGCTCGCAGCACGTCCCGCGCCACTTCCAACTCTTTCAACTCGACTTGGAATTGCCCGTCAATATCTGTGACCACCTGTTGCAATTCTCGCACCTGGCGGGAATCCGTCAGTCGTGTCGATCACAACGAAAATCTGTCCGTGTCTGTTGAATGAAAAGGCCTGAATTACACGGTGGAGCCAACCACAAACCCAACCAAGACATCGAAACGAGGTTTGGTTAAGGATGACAGTGACGACGTTTGCAATACATAGACCACAAGCATGCAAAACGCGCATAAGAGTGCTGATGTCCATGTACAACTCGTACTTGTTTGTAGCACGCGGTTTGCACCAGGGTGACGGCATTGGCCACCTCTTGGCGATACTCTCGCTCTGCCACTGAATCTGCGGTCTCGGCACATTCAAGAGCCAAGGTCTTGTTGAAGAAACCGACGCGACCATCCACAGCCAACGCTGTCTCGCCCAATGAATTGTGCACTAGGCGCAACTACCCAGAATGTGTATTATAGCACCCTGTTACGATATATATATACGAATTGCATACATGTTTTATGACTGTGGACGCGACGACAACTTTGTCTTGCTTGGACCATTGATGGGGAGGCGCGAGCAGTCGAGCCAGAGCCCCCGCATGGTGCAGCCCCACGGGCAGCGCGTATTGGGTCCCGGACATCGGGTGATATGCGACAATGGCGAAATTTCGGATTTGGTTTGGGTATTGGTGCACTGTCACTGTAAACCACAACCCTCCCATCTAATTCCGACAAAATGTCAGCGTGGAAGGTACAAAAGTGGTTTAGAAGAAACTCGCACTTTGAGGCTTCGGGCTACTATGCGGTACCGCTGGCGGCGAGCCATTGTGAGGAATTTCAGCGCGTCTAGCCGCTTCTGCTCGGCTTCGAGCTGCCGCTGCCGTTCTCGTTGTTGTCGTCGAAGTTTGGACTACAATTTTTGTCTCACCCTCAGACAATGTAACCACATGAAGAACCATTATTGTACGGTTTGATATGAACGATAGATGGTAGGCTTACGGCGCTGATTTTCATGTGTTTGTTGATGTGCAAAGTGGGGGTTTCAGACGGGGTCGCGCCGTCCGGTGGGTATGTGAAGTAAAGCATGGCCACGATGCCCGTGACAAGCTAAAACTCAACGAATCGTGGTGAGATCGAATGTAGACGGAAATGAACTATCGTACATCTTCTTTTCGACCAGCGACTAACAAGTCCATGTGATCCTGAAATAAGTTTTCCAATTCATCCATCGACAGCTGCATCGTGTGGTTGAGGGCCAACGCGGGATCGTACACGTTCAGCACAATGAATCTAGGGGACACGAATGATATATGATATGATGGAAATGCCTAAAATGATGGATGATGAAAATGATATTTGTTGGTCGTACCGTTTGCTTTGCAGTCCTGCGCCGTAGACGCGACCAAAAATGTTGACTCCAATGGCTGTCACGATCACATAACTCAAATCGATGATCACTCCCCGTCGATTCAGTCTCTGTTCGTTGTCCTAGATTATAGCTGTAAAGAGCATGTAACAGACTACTAAGAGAAAACCAAGGGACGGACCTTCCGCGATGCCCTCCACTTGGTCGTAGAATGATACCGACCGTCGGTCATCGGATATCTGCCTGGACGAACAGCTTGAATCACAGACAGCTCATCCCTTCCCCACGCTTTGTCGCGATCTCGGATTGGTTCCTTCCACCTTTCCACCTAGATATATTCGTCAAATCGCCTTCTGTTCACCCCCCCCAACTAAACATCAGCCACCTCCCCCCGACTCAATGTGTCAACGCTATACACGAAAATAGACGACGATCGTACGTCAAAGAGACGAGACCGATGGGCTTTGGCAAAACAAGGCATGAGGGGAACTTCATCCGTTGTCGAGCATTTCTTGGGCAGGAATAATGCCAACGGGTTCACAGAACGGAGGGTGTCCACTTCGTTGTACTGGACGATCTCTTCCAGCCCAATCTCAGCCGGACCGTCGACGTGAAGAATCACTCGTCTGCGTTGGAGCACCCGAGTCTCCTGCCCATATGCCAACGATGTATCGAAGTGAAATTCCTGGAAATGTAGAGATTGTCGCACCAAGTGGGGAAGCAAGAGGGGCTGCCTCGTGCATATGGGTCGACGCATATTGTCGTCGTCGTCGTCGCGGGGGGTTGGATCAAGGGGGGCCAAGGGCGATGGGTCCGATCGAGTTATTGGACACAGCTTGCACGCTTTGTGTTTCAGTTTGTGCGGCGATTTTAACGGTCGTTTGTTGGATAGAATTTCGTCATGAAGTAGTACGCGGTAAAACTCGGATGACGGAGATTCTACAAGACGCAGTGATTAGGCGTTGCATCGACGGCGACAAGCCACGCACCCATGTACGCGCTGGCGGCTGGAACTACGAACGGTTTCGACTTTCATAACCGATTAGCCGTTACAATCGACGAGGCACACATCAGTGGAAGGTCATGCACCTCTACGGGGTTCTTGAAGGGTGCTTGATGGGGAAAATGGCAAGGCTTGCGGGGGGACATGCCTTTAAGGAGTTAATTTTCAAACGCACATGCAAGACCGGTTTGGTCACTACTGCCATTGGTGTTGATCGTCCACCGAAGTCTATTGGTATTGAGCTGGACTATGTAGATATGTGCTGAGTCCACGCAGGCATGGAGTATAAATTACCATAAATTGTCGCTGCGATGGTTGTGATCGGTACTCATAGCAATCCAGTCAGACGATACGAACTGCCAAACACATACCGGTACGACCTTGCTGCTCATTGTATCGGAAAAATATAGTGTCGATGCAATCTAACTTTAATGGTGTGACAACGATACAGTGTGTATGTGTTACCGGTAGTATCATAACATATACGATTACTTTTCAAACGTATTTTGCATATATTACGGTAGCGTGCAGTGCATTCAACGTTGTTTTATTCACTTGCCCATCAGTCGAGTCAGCTTTCCAAATGCCGAGGGGGGAGGTTGATTGGTTGTCATCGCAACCGAGGGGGCGGTCGCCGCCACCGCCACGGAGGTAGCTGGTTGTTGCCCGCCTTCGCGCGAACCTGTTCGAGTCGTCGATTTCGCAGCAGCAGCAGCGTCGTTTTGGGTAAATGCTGCCAACGATTGCGCTTTGGAAAACTCTTGGGAGGTTGAAGACGCTGTACGTGGCAACGGTGCTTGCTGGAACTCCCCTTCTGTTTCCGGTGGCAGCGACGACGTCGTCGATACAGTCTGTCCGTGTTGGCCTGGAGAAGTGCTCATTCGAATGATCGACGGTAGCCACTGAACGGTTCGGCCACGAGCATTCCATAGGAAACTCACCAGTTGAAACACCACGATGATCTGGAGGGCTTGATCGCACGAGTTGTCAAACAACAAGCATCGGACTTCAAAACAGGTTTTCGCCACGGTGACCAAGTGCTCGGGCTGCTCCGCCGCACGCAGAGCTTGGGTGAGGAGCGCGGCAGACGAGTCCAGCTGCGATGCATCATACAGTTCTGCCTCTTCGTCTGCAGGGGGAGCTTTGAGGTATTTGTCCTTGTACTCGGCCACCGATACGAGGATATCCGATGCCGCCACGAAGATGAGCACGAGAAGCGCAAAGAACGATGGGCCGCTGCGGTCGTCTTGGATTGTCACGTGCACGTTGTCCTCCACGGCGGCTTGCAGACGGGAACGAGCGGTGGCGTCGCAGAGTTCCATGTACGTGATGCCCCCGTTGCAAAGCTGGCTTTGGTGCGTCGCACAGGTGGCGTCACACGCGGCAAGGAGCGACGACGGCCACAACTGCGTGGAATAGTACGTGAGGTTGCTTGAAAGGGACGAGCACACGTTTTGACACAAACTCGCGGGGGGGTCGTCGCAGTGGCTTCGGCGAAGAGCAGATTGCTCGTAAAATGTGCGGCACTGCACGACAAAGGCCTGATCTTGTGGCGACAGCAGTGGCGGGTTGATGGCGCCCAGAACGAACGAGTTGGACGATGAAGGGGAGGATGCCAGACCTCGAATGACCACGTACACGATGGCAAACACCGTCAAGGCATTGCGAATCGCTTTGACGGTCACCACAGGGCGTCGACTACCCATCATAGTAGCTGACATGTTGATGGTTCGATTGCCAAGTTGGCCAAGAGAGGGAGGATTCCAAAATAGCCTCAATCGCGTAACCGCCACCACGTACTGTACGCGAAACCGCCGTTGAACGTTGCTGACAAGCAGCAAGTTGGATGGTGCACTATGCAGTCGCGGGGTGTGTTGATCACTCGGACTTTACGATATGTGAACGTTTGCTAGGTATGGTGTATTCTGTATATTTGTTGCTGCAAGTCACTGCTTGCTCATTATATGAATCGAACCGACCAATACGTAGACATCATGTCCACGGCTCTTCCCGACATCACGGTGGAAAAAGAGCCCGTCAGCCACGAGCGATGGCAGAATCGCGTGCTGGAGTTGGCTCAGTTGCACGGGTACCTCCTTCGCAACCCTCTCGGCTACATGTAGTACATGGGCTCATCACAGTACCGTAGCTTTTCCCCAATCGGCAAACGAGACTTAAAGATTGCCCAAGTGTTGGTATGGCGGGTCGGGCGATTGGTCGCCCACCGAGCAGAAGAGTTTGAGTTGTACGTGGTAGAAACGTATGGCCTGGCGCTAGATTTGGACAAAGTCCAAGTCGAAGCGTACACACAGGCCAATGCTCGCGCATTGGCTGGAGACGGAACCGACAAAGATTCAAAGCAATCGATTACAGAAAAAACGATTATCGATTAACCCTCGGTATGAATGCGTCTATTGCAATCGTGGAAACGCGGCCAACGCGGTGCTGGCATGTTCGTCGGCCTCACCATTTCGAATGGCTTTCAAATACGCTCGGATTGCCTATGCCGAATAATCCGTATCGACACAATCCTAAACGACACGATGCGAAAACGGACCTCCATCTCTTCGAGTTTTCGCTGGCGCACGACTTGTACTTGCATGGCCTTGACGCTGGCTTTCGAGTCCAAGTACGCTTTCTACAACATGCATATGTGGGGCATTTCTACAAGTGTGACGAGTCTATCCATACTTTGGCCGACATGAAGCACGCCAAGGACTCGTTGTGGATTGCCGTGTCGCGGCGACTTCTTGTTTCACGGACGTTCTTGGATTCCTGTTGTCCATAATACCGTACAAGCCCTCATCAACCATCCATTTCTCACTAATCGTATCGATACCTCCAAAATCGCATTTGCAAGCACGGAATGTCCTTGCTGTCTGGCCAACTGCAGAGCGCTTTGGGCCACAACATCCGTCTAAATAATCATTTTGTGTGTTCACACATGAATTCATGCAAAAACCCTTGATACATTGAGGTCGTGAACCGACTGGCCCAGGCTAACCAGGAACACGGCCACTTGGATGGCACCTGTGCGACAGGCATAGTGCAGGGGAGTGTCTCCGGTAGCGAACGTTGCGTGCTGGATGTTGGCTCCACACGACACGAGCAACTTGGCAGCTTCAACTTGGTCGTATTGAGCTGCAAGGTGAAGTGCAGTTTCGCCCTCCTGCACAAGGAACAGTCAGACATTAGCCGCAAAAGGAGTCCATGGAGGGTAGTGTACGGTATTCACGCCACCGACAACATCTCCATGCAACAACAAGAGCCGAACTATGGTGACATGTCCTCGTGCTGCCGCGGTTTGCAAACACGTCAACTTAGCCTCCTGCTGACAAGTCAATATACGACCATCATGGTTGAACTTTACAACATACATTCATGTAGTAGAGCTTTTCGACATTTACTCGGACACAGTCTAACAGCACGTACACGACCTAACCGCAGCAGGTGAGTAGAATGTGCGACGGAACCCCGTCTCTTACCTCGGTAAAGCCAAAGTGGCATGCATGATGGAGGGGGGTCTTGCGAAACTAATTTCACACACAGAGATTCATCAACGTCACCTCGATGGGGAAAGAGACGACGAACATGATCACAAATGCCCACGGCGGCACCATGGCGAACCAAATAGCACACGATCTCGACAAACCCGCGCATGCAACTGTGGTGCAACGCCGTCAACCCCGTCGCAGCGTCGACACTGTCGATCAAATTGGCGATGGACGCCCCCCCTTCGTCCAGAGTATGCACCACGGCATCCAAATCCCCCTCCACCGCCGCGTCCAACAGAGATTGCCGCAAAAACGGCGCGTCGAAACTCATGGACGTTTCAAAATGGCGCGACAACTAAGACGTGGTGTTCGGGTAAATGCATGAACAGTATGAAAGTGCGTTAAACGAAGCCCACTACCTTGTGGGGGTATCGGCATGATGACTCGATGCCACGAGCTGTGAGGCTTTTGAGCAGTCCTAACGATGCAACCCATTCCTACTATGACGCACGAATGTCCCCACTAGTAAGTCGACTGGTAGTCACTACCTACGAGAATAGGCTAAAAAAGGAAGCCAGTCGTGGTTGATGAAGTCCCAGGGGATATGATCAAGATTTTATTTGCACAGTTTCCTGAAAGCGACAACTGTACAAGTGCAGTTTCGTAGTTTTGTTGTGCATTCATCACTACCTGCTAGCTGACATCCATATCGCAGCCCTCTTATAGTATACCGTGGCTGGCGGACCGACGAGTAGTAGTGTAGTAGCCACAGAGCGACTTGCCATAGCTCTGTGGCTACTACATATATCAGGTGATTCAACAAAATCTACAAGCAATACCCCAAGCACCCCCTTGGACGCCACACAAATAATCATGTAGAAAGGTCCTGCTGCTTGATGCATGTATTAGTTTTTTCGATGGTTCCACTCAACGACCTTGGGGTGTTGTTTGATGGCATCGTAGATGCTCATGACATGAGGATATGCATCAGAAACTGCGTGGGTGTGGACGTCATGCAGCAACCCCGTCTTGAGCATATGCACTGTCAGGTAAATCTCAAGATCGGCCAACGACAACGAGTCCAAGAGGTATGGGTTGCCGGTGCTTGTGGCTACGAGCCTCCGCTCCAACAGCTGAAACATCGTCGGTAGCTTCACGTCCACCAATTCCTTGGCCCGCACTGCTCGCTCGGTCTTGTCCAGCTCCCCAAAGACCGCATAGATGGCGTTGCTCATGCTCATGAGATGAGCCAATACCTCGTCTACCTTGAACGCATCCAGGGGTTCGTTGTGGGGGTACAACCCAGCCAACGTGCCAGCGTACTTTGCGATCGGATGCGATTGCGCCATCACCAAGTCGTCGACCATGAGCACAGGCAGCTGGCCATAAGGCAACGATTGCTTCAAGTTCTTCAACCTTTGCATGGAAATGCGATCGTCTTCAAAATAGATGTCCCCAATGTACAGCGCCAGCCGAGTCAGCTCTGCCCGACCGGCCAAGTTGAAATACGTGAGCTTGAGTGTCGCCAGCCCGCGTCGAGCTACCACCTTTGCGGGCCACATTGAATGTGGTTTGCAACGGTTGCGTGGGATCTTACTGTATTACGGATACAGTACTGTACTTTACGAAACGTACGGATTCAAAAGATCGTAATGTTACAGTAACGTTATTGTCGATTTGATACAAATTTGGGGAGGGTGCAATCGAATCGCGCCGACCAAACCGATCCACAATCGATCTGATTGGTTGAATTTCATTTAGAAGGTTTTGATTGGTTAATAATTTTGAGCTCATCTGAAGTAGCCAATCAAATCGATTTAAATTCCAACGAGAAACCACGCCACAACACGAAATTTCACTCGAAAGCACAATACTCGATTATTACTCGTTCGTACCTTGGAAATTATCCAAGCTGAGATTTCGCCCTTAACGTTACGGTGTATAGGGCAACAATAACAACGGCCCCTGTGTAGTAGCAGGGGATGAATTGTGCACAACCCGAAGAATTCAGCTCCAGTTCCTGCGCAATGATTGAGGGGGGCTTTTCGACCACTTCTGTATGCCTGCCAATTCATCCCGCCCTTCATGTACGAGCACACCGGGCCATTGTTGGCACCGCAATTGCCCTTATGCCGCAGTTTCTGGGGCCGGCTTGAATTTAGCGTGGCCCCCTTCAAACCCCCGATCCTGTAGTACACATACAGACACGTCAACTAGTGGCCCTGTCCACCGAACTTACGTCCCCCAAGTGCAGTGCTCTCCCTAGTTCTGCCATGTCGTCAAAATTTGTGTGGTATATACGGCCGTGTAGCGACAGTACTTGTACCACACAAGATGCGTCGCACGATAAAGTTAGTTTGAATAGCTACCATAAATATATACTGTAGTAGTCCAGAGTCGACTCGTGCTTATACGCATGTCGTACAGTGTTTCGCTTTAACAGATTGTTCTGGTCCGTTGCCGATGGGTGACGTTGAAATTTCCTGAGCTAGAGAGAACTTTCCATTCGATCCCCACAAAATACTACTGGACAAAAGAAATAGATATACTATAATATACTATACATATACATTGTAGTTCACCGACACTCCTCGCTTGCGAAGAAGGTAACATGCTGGGTGTACAAGTTGCAGGGTCGGTGGTTCGCCGATCAAGCCCTTGCAATGCACTTCATTTCGTGGAGATAATACATGACGCGTTCAGGTATGTACGCGAAAAGGACGATATTTGCGAGGTCAAGGTGATATAAACCTGGGCGTCCCACGATCAAGACGCTCCCCATTTTCCCGGCGATTCCCTTCAATGCGAAGGCCAAGTTGACAACTGCATTTGTGTGACGTAAACTACAGTAGGCACCCAAGTTGCATATTTCATGATGAATTGCATATTTATACACTGTATGGCACGAGTTCATACAGTGAAATGAGAATTCGTTTTTCTCGAATTTGGCTCGTCGCACCTTTGGTCACAAATCGCCCAAGGCACATCCATTCTTCCATTACGTACACCCTACTAGTACGAAGTACTGGAGTATGGCATACAGTCACGCGTTTATGCGATGATGTCGTGAAAAGGAATTAATAGTACGCATGAATAGTAGTGGTAGTACTAAAGTATTCTTGCATCCCCCACCAACACACAACCCATTAGAATAGCCGCCGAAATCCCGATCTCAAGGCACTGTGCACCTCCGCAAAGCACAAGACCAGGCGCACAGAACGTTCACGTAAAATCTGACTCATCGTCAATGGTTGTGAGTGTAGCCAGCCGAGCTGTGGGTGTGTCGCCTATACAAGTCATAGCGCTCCTTTTGTAGGTAACTTTTACAAATCACTTTAGCATACAAATTCAATAATATTACATAGCATTTTGTATGCAATTGGGGGAAGGTAAACAGAAGCTTACCATTTCCATGCTCTGACGTGCTTGGATATTTGCAATTAAACCTGCGAGATATCTGAACTGGGCAACGTTTTGGTCAATTTGTTGGATGGTCGACATAATCACACAAAGCATGCAATGTGTAGTAGCACTTTGGATTTGACCGATTTCTCCCACTTTTATACATAGCCACCGCAGAAAACATGACAGAGAGCACCACCACGACTACTAGCCCAAGGAGACGACATCACGCCACTATGTCGTCCTTGCTAAATGGCCACCTGCGCCAGTTCCCAGTGTTCGTCGAGGCTGCGACGGTGCTGCACGAAATGCAGCGGGACACGACCTCGATCACGAGCTTCCCCAAGGTATACACAGTTCCTCGTCAACCGCCGTGGCCGGCTCATCTACAGGGAGTCAAGCTCAACACATCCCAAGTTCGCATGCATTACAAGAATGGCAACCTTCACCCTGACACAGTGGCCGGTCTCCAAGCCGTCAACTTTGTCTTTGACGTGAATCAAGTCAAGTGGTCCCAGAAACTGCTGGCGCTATCCACTTACAAGGCCATCTACGGGGATCTATGTGTTCCCCAGGAGTTCAGCGTGCCCGCCCATGACCCCCGATGGCCCAAAGACCTGTGGGACATGCGGCTTGGATTGGCAGTGCGCAGCCTCCGCCAGAAAACCAAGCCCTCGTCCGACCGGTACTTGTTTCTGTCAGACATGGGATTTGTCTGGAATATTCTGGACTTGAGCTGGGACACCAAAGTGGCCGCTCTCGTCACATACAAGCAACTGTACGGCGATTTACTGGTTGCGTACAGCTTTAAAGTGCCCACCCAAGACGGCAACTGGCCCAAGAACACGTGGGGGCTCAAGCTAGGCCATGCCGTCCACAACATCCGCCAGAACGGCCTCGACATGTCGACCGAGAGGCGGCGGCAGCTGCTGGCGCTTGGGTTTGTGTGGGACCACTTGGAGATGAGTTGGGACGTGAAAATCCTCGCCCTCCAAACGTACCGCTCGTTGTTCACGTCGTTGAACGTCCCGTATGGGTTTATTGTACCGGGGGAGTCCCCGTTGTGGCCACGGGCGACGTGGCACATGAAGCTCGGCCATGCTGTCCACAACATTCGTCAAAACGTGCAGGAGATGCCCACCCCTCGCAAAGCTCAGCTCAACGACATGGGGTTCGTGTGGTATTCGTTGCCGTTGCCGTGGGAAATGAAACTGCTGGCATTACAGCGATACCACCAAGTGTATGGCGACTTGAACGTCCCCGTGACCTTTCGTGTCCCCGACGGTGACGACAGCGCGTGGCCCAAGAAGACGTGGTACATTCGCCTCGCGGACGTTGTGCACGATCTGCGTTGCCATCGCGAGAATTTGAACCCCGCCCAAGTTGGTCAATTGGACACGCTGGGGTTCCCCTTCCATGACGACGACCCAGGACCAGCGCAAGTGGAATTGGTGTCGATTTGCGATGGATTTCCCCTCATGAAGAGGATCAAAATAGAGGGTCCCATGTCTTAATACACGTTGTAGTCGTTTACTACTACTCATCGATCGATTACACTAGTAGCACTGTACAGTCTGGTAGGACAGTACAGAACTGCGCCCAAACCGGTACTACTACTGTCGCCAAATTCGTGGTCTACCGGTACTGTAGTACTATTAGTTGTACTTCGAAGTAGTACCCTGTACGTGGGTGATTGGAAAACATATGGTCCTGCCACTGTGGGAGGCGTAATTTCTACTATTTGCCCCTATTTTACAGTTCTTGCGCTCAAGATGAAACGCACAGGTCACATTCCTTTACTAGTATTGATGAATAAGGCAGATGGGAGATTTAGGCGATGGGTGGGTGCAGTTGAGGAACCATTTTGTGTGTGTGCCGCCCCCCCCACTCATTAGATTAGGAATGCATTTAGCTGGGCCGACACGGGGGGCTTTCAGTACAAAATAAAAGGCTGGCAGCAGTTTAAGGGGGCGGCGACTATACATACACATTCATGGCGTGGTGCTAAGGGAAGGCTAGTGGAAAACAGTCCTAATCAAAGCGCATTCAATAACGCGGCGGCGTTACACTACGCAGTACTTCGACGTATGGTAACTTACTATTATAGTACACAATACTATTAATATTAATAGTACAGATCTCCGGAGTACTAGTACCACTGAAGTACTAGTATTATTAATAATAAGTAGTACTATTAATATTATATAATAATAGTTGTACATGATTTATCATCGTATATGCATTACTCATCGGGGGTTTGGACGGAGTCTCAGGTTTCTGGGTTACTCTGGAGTAACGTTAGGGGCTAAAAAGTGTGTCCGGATGGCATACTTCCCAAATTGAAGCAGTCTTTCTCTTTCTGCGCGCCACGACGGCACCAGGGTCAATGCAACAGTGTTATTGTTTTAATGAGGGAATTATTCTTGTTGCTGGTAGTAGGTACTAGTACCAGTCAGTACTACGTAGTATTAATAGTACTACTAATAGTACTTATTATTCCATTCAAACACGCAAACGACAGTGTTGTCAGAGAAAAAACAGCAGTCAAATTACAGTAGTACTGTACAGTAGTACCAGGTAGTGTTTTACGTATTACTGAAAACTGTGCTTGGAACTTCCCCTTAATGAGGGAATTGAACTTGCATCAATAACGTTAATAATAGGGACGTTTCGCAAGTCGTGTTTTTCCCATTATAGGACTAAACCGATGTTTGTGTGAAGTTCATTTGGGTTGTGTTTGTTGACACTTTAATGGAGGCCAAAGGCCGCACTGCGTGTAAGTACCGATGTGGCCAAACGGTATCCTGCGACCGTTAAGAAGGAATTGTCTACTCCATGTGGTAATTACACTGTCAGCAATGCCTTCGGGGGTCGTTTCTTGAGGTTCGCGTTAGTGACACGGGAGAGTTCCCCGTAGATGTGGCATAACGTTAGTCTAGGATATCGTAGGATTCAATTTCACAGGTTTCTGGGAATCGTTTGGTCATTTGGGTAAATACATTGCAGCTGACGATGTCCATACTAGTACGTTGTTAGGTCCGAACTTGTTCAAACGTAACTCAAACAACCGTGCGTATTTAAAAAATAATGTCAACTTGACTCCTTCACATACAGCAACACTGGTTGACCAAGTCACAGTGACACGACTGACATGACCACTTGTGCCCTAGCCTCGACCCGTCGGCGTTTCAGCAGAGGGAATCCGTCGCAGATCGAAATGGACTCGACACCACAGACATCCTCGTCGTGTTGCTCTACAACGACGTCAACCACAGCAGTGGGCTTTTGCCACTGAAACCCTAGGTCGTTGAGCGCCGCCACTTGAGTTTCATGCATGGCGTCGGCTCGGAGCCGCAACTCGTCCGACACGTCCGCCAGTCGGACGTGCCAGCACTTATTCGGCCACGGCTGGGCATCCGACGTCGCCGGCACGCGAAAATCCGGTGGAATGTTCAGGTGGCCGTGGAGATCCCGATACACCTGCAACGCGCGGAGCTTGACGTCCCACGTGAGGGGCGCCGACTGCCAGTGAAATCCCAGTGAATTGAGCATCATCCTCCGGGCGGCAGGCATGTCGTCGACGCTCTGTCGCATGTTGTGGACTGCATGGCCTAGCTTCATGCCCCACGTCTCCCGAGGCCACGACGGCTCTGCCCCCTGTCCTGGTACAATAAATCCGTACGGCACCGCAGTGTGCCCGTGTACGAGCTTGTAAAATTGCAATGCAGTTACTTTCACGTCCCAAGTCGACTCCAAATGGTCCCATACAAACCCGAGCGCCGCCAGCTGGTCCAATCGATCTGAAGACATGTCGCGGCCGTTCTGACGGATGTTGTGTACGGCGTGGCCTAGCTTAAGGTTCCACGTGTCTCGTGGCCACTGGTTATCCTGGCTCGGCACGGTAAAGTTGTACGCGACGAGTAAATCCCCGTACAAGTGTTTGTACGTGGCAAGCGCTACGCGTTTGGTTTCCCAGCCCATGTCGAGGACGTTCCAGACAAACCCCATGGCAGACAGCTGGCGGAAGCGGTCGGACGTCGGCGGCGTCTTTTGCCGGATGCTTCGGACAGCTAGCCCCAACCGCATGCCCCACAGGTCGCGCGGCCACCGGGAGTCGTCTGTCGGGATGCGAAAGTCTTGGGGCACACACAAGTCGCCTCCATGCAGCTGCTTGTACAGGCGCAGCGCTGCGATCTTTTGCTCCCATTTGACTTGGTTCACGTCAAACACAAAGTTGATGGCCTCAAGAGCGCGCTTCGTGTCAGGGTGGAGGTTATTGTTCTTGTAATGCATGCGAACTTGGGCCGTGTTGAGTTTCACGCCTTGGAGGTGGAGAGGCCACGGCGCTTGCCGAGGGATCGTGTACAGTTTGGGAAAGCATGTCATCGACGACGAGTCCTTGTTCATCGCATGTAGAATCGTCGCGGCTTCGACAAACAAAGAGAACTGTCGGGGCCTCGAGATACTTTGGGTCGACGTGGTGGTGGTGGTGCTTGACGTTGACGTTGACCAGGTTTGGTGGCAGTGGTGATCGTGCATCGGTGGTCCTGCTGCGAGGAAACGGAAAATGAGGTGACTGCTGGTGATGATAACACATCCCAGCCGTTTTAGAACCGAACTCATGATGTGTGTCGAGATTCCATATCTTGACCGAATTGGTCGATATAGTTGACACGATCGGCCAACCACACTTGGCCGATTACGCGGCAAGCAAGGTGGTGGACGAGGAGGCAGTACGTTATTCAGGCTACATACCCGACAGATACACTTATATATATATACACGTGGGAAAGACGGCCAGCCTTGACTACATATTCTTAGAATTGGCACCAAATTGGAAGCAATTTTGACTGAGCTACCTGCATATGTATTAACGTCATTATTCTCCACCTGACGAGTTTTGTCAACGCCTCGAAATATAGAACTTGTGCGGACGATATGTTCCAAGGCAGGCGTTTCCCCGGAGACTACGGACGGTCGTATCCGCCAAGGTAGGCCATATGTGATGGCTTTTACGAAGCCCTCATTCATTAACGTTATATAATAACGGTAAACTAGTCGTTTTGGGGCAACAAGCTTCTGGTTGTGGAGCGCTCACCTTTCGATAACGTATAGCTTCGGTCAATTTAGTCCGATGACATCTCTGGATTTGGAACATTAGTCAACGGATGTGATGTTATTGCCTTGCCAATGTGTATACTTGGTCAAGACTATTCGATGGATCCATCCTAGCGTTTGAATTACTGGTATATTACAAATCTCAGTTATAATTCAATTCACGGGTAAATACAGCTTGTAGCCTGTCTATTGTAGCATGTCAATGGTGAATACAGCCTGTGTATCTCCCCACGGACATGCCGTTCGGCGTTGTTCAACATTTCAAAAATTGTCGTTGCCTTGTCGAGATCGCATTGCCGCCTAAAACCAACAGAGTAACAATTTAAAGCACAAAACCCATGAACCTGGTCAGACGGAACGTGTTCATACGTTTTCTGCAAATCCCTGCAAATGCTCCAAATGTGTTGTGACGCAACGCTCGGCGAACTTATTTCCATCTGGTTTAGTTTTCATGGGAACATAAGAACAATTTCGATACGTAACAAATTCGTCGATAACAAATTCGTTAACGTTTTGAACGAAGTGGGACATTTCTTTCAACTGGGGCAAACTACAAAACTGTAACCTTACTGTACGTAGACTTGGCTAGAAAGCAAGTCGCGCGAGGGCCGCAGCTGAAACGAAAGTGCCTCAATGAGGTCAACGCTAAAAGAGGGTCCTAAGCTGATTGAGGGCCTCACTGTGTATTCCCCAGCTACATTACTTCGGTAGTGTAGTACTATGAATATGTAGTATGAGTGGTGTACTCTGTATTGACTGTGAGTACAGTACAGTACTACTGTACTTATTCCAGACTGGAGCGACATGACTCAACACAACCAAATACCGTATACAGCATATGTATTGCGACAGGTGATATTTCACAACCGGCCGATACTCGATCTCAAAATTTTGTTTATCCATTGCATCGTACAAATTTGAAGTAATATTCAACATATTCGCAAGTAAATACTAGTATCAGTTATTACAAGAAAAAATATCAGTTATTACAGGAGTCGCAATAATGGCTGGTCTGGATGCCACCCCATAAAATTATGCCATAAACCGCTTTGTCAAGTCTGCAAAAATTTCCCAAAGTCTCATATCCCATGGGAAAAAAGAGAAAAGAAGTATCTACACAGTTGCCTGGATGCCAGTTGAATTATGGAAAAATTGTTCGATTTCCGATTGAAGTGCAAGACTTCAACGTGAACACAAACCTCCATAATAAAGTTGGACCAAATCGGTCCATTTTTTTTATGCCATAAAACACCCGATTCTCAAGAAAATTGTGGCATAAATTTTTGAACTTTGGTGGCATCCAGACGCACAAATTTTCGAAAAATGGAAGATTTCGATTTTGGCAACTTTTCTTGGAAAAACGGCCATTTTATGCCATTTTTCATGGCATCCAGACCCACCCAAATCCGTCGCAACATTGTCAAGTCGGTTCGTCGCCAGTAGAATAGAATAGACTTGGCAAATCGATTTGACAATGAACTACAGTCTGTAGCCAATCAAAATCCATTCTAAACCCCCCTTTACAAGATTTCTGAATGGTAAAAAGAACCGTTGATTGAACTCACTGTACTAAAAGTAGAATGAATTCAAGATATAACGTTATTGCCAAGTTCATTCAAAAACGGATTCACTTTTGGGACTGAACAGTCCAAATTTGTGTGAGAAGGACAATACATATACAGTACTAGTGTATTGTCCGTTTACCCAAAATTTGGACTTTTGTGCTGATCCGTGAAATCCATCGATATATTCTTTGCACTGAAGTTTGTATGTAAAAGTTGTGTTGTGGTGATTGGTATCACACTAATTTCTGCCACACACTAATTCGATGTTGGTGATGGTTTCCTGCAATCTGATTGGCTAAATCCTTCTGCCGATTCTTGTGTACAGTGGATCACAAAAGTCTGCATACCCCCGTGTTCAACGATGTCATTGAAGGCTATTTTGTGATGTATTGCTCGGTTTGCAGTGTGAAAGGATGTATTCGAAGGACAATTGCTTCCTGGATCGACACATTACTGTAGACCATGCATGTGACAACTAGTTGAAGACATGCGTCACGAAAAAGAATTTCGATTGAATCAAAAGTCTGCCTACCCATTACCAAACTAGTATGAAATGACGACTTTTGAGCTTTCTAGTACTTCGTAGACCCTCCCTTGTTGGCAATGACCATGCTCAACCTCTTTGGCATGGTATCAATGATCTTGCGGATGTATTCCAAAGGAATATTGTCCCAAATATCAAAAAGACGAGCTTTGAGCCCCTCGACCGACGTCGGAGGTGCTTGGCGCACCCTACGCTTCATGTACTCCCACACATGCTCAATAGGATTGAGGTCTGGACTTTGGGGGGGGGG